CTGAAAAACATGTGCATCCACTTTTAGAACCAAGAAAACCATATAGTGGCTTAGTGTGAATTAACAACTCAGCTCTGTACTTCTTCACAGTAAAATATGGTATGTATAAGTTATTTATGGTTCATCTGTAATGCTGATTGATTTATAGCCCTCATCATGCCTTGTGGTCTGCCAAGCAACCTTGAGTGGCCCACTGGCATTTTTTGAGAACTTAACAAACCTACTGCCACCAGTCATTGTCCCAATTGCCTAGGTTTTTAAAACCATCTTGGCCCTGAAAGACATGCTGCTTAGCACCTATAATACAGTGGGTACCGTTCTGTTCCAGTGCTCCAGAGGGCCCACCTGCCCGCCCGTCATCCTTACCTGTCTTTAAACTCTTCGGGGCTTCCGCACACATGCACGGCGCATACAGTGCCTGAACGATGCTCCACTGAGCAGCTGGAGCATTGCAGAGGCGTCGCTGGAAGGTAGGACGCATTCGCGCACTGCACGTGTTCATGTGGAGGACGCCGGGCCCCATTGCAACCGTACCGGTTGCAACGGGATCCGGATCCCACCACTGCTACAATATATACAGACATTACTGATACTGCCAGTTCCTGTAATGCCTCCATGATGCTAGCTGCTGAAAAGCTGGTCAGCACACTAGCTGTTTCTTTGAAGCTTGCCATTACCTTTCAAGTATCAGAGTGGCTCTATTCTCTTTATGACTTCTGCAGTTCTAGTCTATGTTGTACAGTATACAGGTGCTGGCAAATACAGAGACCAACCTGAGAAGAAACTGAAGACAATACAGAACACAGAAGACTTTTGTCTGTAGGAAATGATGTAAAGAAGGCTGTCCTGTACAGGCTTTCAGATTATTTTGCAAACTCAACATTTTGAATTTAAAACACTTGATGTTAAGTTCAAAAGAGTTATTTGGAGAGAGAAAAGGTTGTTTTATATTTGGAAGTAGGTTACTTTGAATAGAACTATTATGAGTTTAAAATGCATCCACAAGAACAAAATATTTTATATTTAAAACAACTATTTTGAACTAGAAGTAATATAAAATTCAAGGTCAGAATGTTTTGCACATCATTATTTCCCTACTTTTTAGTTGTAAAATAAGAGGGGGGGGGCAAAAAGTGTGGATGGGTCTTTATCTGTGTGTAGATATATAAATATAAAACACACATACCAGAGGTGGTATTCAGCAGGTTCTGACCAGTTCTGGAGAACTAGTAGCAGAAATTTTGAATAGTTCAGAGAACCGGTAAATACCACCTCTACCCCATCTGTTCTTTGCCTCCTGAGTCCCAGTTGATCGGGAAGCAATGGGGATTTTGCAGTAATCTTCCCCTGGAATGGGGAGGAAATGGAGATTTTACAGTATCCTTCCCCTGCCACACCCACCAAGCCACACTATGCCTAACAAGTCACGCCACACCCACCAAGCCACGCCTACAGAACCGGTAGTAAAAAAAATTGAATCCCACCACTGACACACACATACATAATTTTATCTTCATTGTTGTCTCTGGATACATGGACAAGAACTGGGAAATAGGAACTAGAAATATGAGTTTCACCTAGAGATGGGAGAAAAAAGAGGGCAGGATTGGACCTGTCCTGTAAGATTGTACCAAACCTGTTTCTTAAGTTCTTTAGCAAGATCGTGGTTGGAAAGACTTTCATAAGGTTCAAGTTATTCTCTAATCTTTCAGTATTGATTATACAATGAATCTGAATAATTTGACAGTTTCTTTCTCCCACCTCCAAAGATGATACAGACTGTAACTTCAAACATAATTGTTAAAAAGCTGAACTTAATTCAATAAACTCCATGCTGGTTAGGTTTCAGATATATTATTTGTTAAATTTATATTCTGTCTTTTCATTAGTTTATAAAAACATAGTTGTTATGTGAAGTGTACACGATTAACCGTCTTACAAGCAGAACTTTGGAAAAGTATGCAACTTGATGTAACTGTAAGCTATTCCTATTTCTGAAACCAAGATGGTGAAAAATAGCCCAAAATGGCAAATTCTAAAACCTTTAGTGCCTTTAAAGAATTTTATTTTCTTGTACATACATCCATTTCATTTTCTGTGAAGACTGATGTGCGTTAAGCTCATTCTTTCCACCGCCTCTAGAACAGTTGGACAGCAATTCTTATCCACAATGCTTAGGATAATAGAAGTTGTAGTTCTTGCCATCTGGAAAGTTTTTAGCTAGAGAAATTCATACAGCTAGGTGCACTCACAGGGACTTAGGTTTATACTACTTTAAAAGAACCTGATTGCTCTGGTTTTGTATTTGGACTTCAGTGCTTTAAGCAAGGCATTCTGTTTAATAGAATATAGGGCCACGTTTTAGATAAATAAAGTTTTAAATTAGATACAGTCTTTGTATCTGCTTAGAAGTAAGTCCTTAAGTGAGTTTTGGGGAGTATATATAAATTTCCAGTTTATTAAGTGGAGTGACTGTTGTGTACCAATTTCAATTGATAGCACTATGCATAAAGAAGTATTTGTAATGTACTTTTTTAAAATGTGGTTTAGAGACTGGTGTCTCAGTAAAAATTTAAAAATACAATAAAAATAGTAATTCTAATATTTGTTAACAGACATTACCTGAAATTCAGCAAATAAAATTAATCATTTTAACCAATCAACATTTTTTAGTAATGTTGCAAATAGAGCCAAATACACTCCATACGTGAGCACTACTTGAAATTGATGGAAACACTACGCTCACCTGTACTACTAGTTTCATTCTGCTTGTAATTCAGGCATTGTTCTCCTTACTATAATTTTGTGGTAGTTAAATTCCTTAAAAGTTACTGCTTAAGTGTTGTATCAAAAGATACACTTTTATATAAGTGATTATGTAACTGTTGCTATATCAGGTTCTGAAATACACCTGATGTGGAAGAAAGATATATCACGACTGTTTAAGTTATTTTATCCTCTCAAGCATCTGAGCTATTATTAGTATGCCTTTTTAAAGAAATTATTTTTAACCAGCTTGTATTTTGCCCTTTAACATTCCAGCATAGAGACAGTGTACATCTGTTTTAGAGTGAAGCTTAAAATCAATTATATGAAACTGCTACACTTCTTTAAACTATTTCCCATGTGAATTATGATGCTGGACAAAATTAGATGATTTATAAAACAGTTACATATTTGTACCTTATAAACTTGATGGGTCATCTTAATTTTTTTTT